ATATATATATATATATATATATATATATATATACTCATTTACATGGTTATTCGAGCTCGGTTGCTATTGTCTAGTTTTGCTCAAAGAGCGCAGCCTCTATGCAAACTTCAGTCATCCTCGAATTAGTGCGAGCTAAGTATAGAGTTGGGTTTGCTGGCTAGGTCACATGATCAGACCTTAGAGAGAACTCTCTGATTCGCTACTTCTCTACAGCTTCGCATTCCTGTTCATTGTATCTCTTAACTTGTGAATGATGGTGTCGCTCAACGGCAACACCCTCGGTAATTCTACCGGATGTTGAGACTAACTTTATATATAGAAGTGGTGTGTTAAGCATTTCACAAATGTTCTGATCCTCTCCTAGTGAAATTTTGAGTTTAGCCATCCAGTATGAATCAGCAAGACAGTATTCTACTTGGTACATTCTCAAACAATTTAGCGATAGTGCAACGGTTACTTGTCGATCACAGATGGCAACGAGTTTAACATGGCTTCAGTGATTTAGCTGGAAAGGATTGATTACGGCGGAAACAGGTCTGCGGAAATTAGTCTTTGGGCGTTTCTATGAGCCCAAATACTACGTTATCCAGTAGTTTTGGTCATGTATCTTTTTGAGCGCCATCCACAACACACATCCAGGATAAGTGTAGAATATACGTGACTGTTATGACCAACAGGAGCCAGACCAATCAATTAACTCGGAGAGGACGATTCCCCTTTTTATTGTCAAGTAACAGACTGGTTGCGAGTGCATTGTCTGTTATTTTTATTGATACCAGTCGTTTAGTAGAGCCAGTGCATTAAGAACTGTCTAGGGAGGATCATGGCTGAATGTATAGTCTAGTTGAATGTACTACCTGGCAAACTGAAATAAAATTGTTAATCGTTTTGCAGAATCCTCCAGAAAGTGGCTGTAACTCGTCGAACAAAACGGATGATCGTTTGCACCTACATAGGTTGTGTGTTTCGTGTTGCTTTCCTGTCTGGATTCTTCTCGATTCCATTACGCTGTCGGTATTCTTACTCACTGCCCACACCCGCTTCTAGATTCGACTACTGGTTCAGCATAAGGCTGATCTGTTTTCGAAACGAGCATCAAGGTCGAGTGCGCGATATTTGCTTTGCGAAGACGATCCTCTTCTCGGTCATCTCTCCAATTTAATTCGCACATTGACCCGTGGCCTAATAATCAGTGTAGCTGGATCCGATGAAGGTACGTTTCTTCACTCTGCTGGCTACTGGCACAGTGTCCAGTAATATATTTTTGTTCACGTCACTTTAGTGTTCACTCATCAGGAAGGGTTTTGGATATGTTACGTTCCACAATTACCAAAGATATTATGAGTACAACATACCTTTCGAGAAGTCCGTCAAAGTCACACGGCAGCACAACTTCCTCAACCCAGCAAGCCCTGTTCAAAATAAAATCACGGGTTTATTGATTTCATTAGGTCGAATCACTTTAGTGAGCTCAGTTTCGTCGATTTTGAATTTTTTCAGGATTTTAACACAACAACCCTTCCATAATGATAACCAGTAACGAATATTACAGAATTGATATATATATATATATATATATATATATAAACAGCGGCCAAATGTATGCCATGTTTTACGTGATACACGAGGATGTTCGGTATTTTGGTACAGATTTGGCACTGCATCACGTTTCACTAGGCCACGCTTCTACACGTACGTCTGTTTCGGTGCTTTGTGTTTTACTGGTCTTTATTTCAATGTGATTTGTACTTCGGGAGAGAAGTGAGTTTCCACTGAACTGGCAATTTGGCCTTCTGATGTTAAGTTTCAATCTCGTACTTTCAAGTGTCAACCATGATATCAAACGACATTGAACACTTACGAGGGATTGCTAAACTAGGAAGAGTAGTTTTCCAATTTTTATTGGATACTGCCAGTGAAGTGGAACGTAGCTAGTGAACCGATAATTCATTCCGGAGAAAACTTACTAAGGGCGGTCCGCATTAAGCAATTAGGTGTTTCGTTCGCTCCGTTGTGTTCTTCCACCTGATCAGTAACATTTCTTTTCTTTTCAGATGGTCCCATCCTACGATTCAACCGTGCTTTGGCCTATTTCATCTACGACCTCATTCCCCTAGTTCCTCCGATGTTTATTCTCACGGAGGTTTGGCAGTATTGCAACTCGGTGGGGCTTTAGTCTTATCATTTATGGCTTTTACGCTTTCAGCAGTTTCTACTAAGTGGTCTGTACAGCAACCGCTGTCGGAACCCTTCAAGAAGGCTCGTTGAGGAGGAGTGGGCGTTATAGGGAGTATTAAGTCATAAAGTCTTCCCTTGAATGTAAATGCAACCAAGTGACATTAATTCTCATTTCCGGAATTTTCAATACGAGCAACGTGACGTATTGTGTGAACAATGACTCGGTCTGATCTAGAACCGAGAAACCATTGGTTGTCATAACTGTGGGACAGCTGCCGGAGAGAGCTGTTGTTGTGTGTAAATTCCGAATATAGGTACGCCTCGTCGTACAACCTTCCTCAGAGGTTTCCTAAATTTGCGCTGGGAACCCAAACACACTTTGACGGAAACCGAAGCGCAAGCTCCGAGTTTAGCATAAATCTGCTGCCTGGCACTTGGTAGACCGGGGTCTCTGCGACTGAGCTGCTGAGAAACCTAGCCCACGCCGCACAGACGCTGGAACTTCTCAGTGGCTCCCCACACCTCTGCCTAATGGTTCAGAAGTTTGTTCAGCAGTTCGTGAACCCGACCCATTCTTCCTCAAGGCGTCGATAGTGTTTAGACACTCAGTTATCATTAGGTGGAAGCGCTACAGGAGAAATTCATGTTGGGAAGTGTTGGATAGAAGTGAAATCTTCCAGCGCAGATGAAATTGGCACATGGCCGTAATGGATCGCACTCCGCAGTAGCAGTGTCGGTCCCGCTAGCGAAAGTCTGTGCGTCCCGCTCATATGCATTGTGTAATCCACCATTTATTCAAGGTCATTCACTCTTGTTCTCCCTATATGTGCTTGTTAACTCTATGAGTGGCGAATTCGTTGGGTCGGAATCTTTGATTCTCTCTCTGGTAGCTTTTTTTGATGAAGGTGGCTGAACTCGGACTAATTAGATGGTCTTTTGATGTCAGATGGAGTTACGGATGCATCTTTGCACCGATTCTCAGTCTCCATCCCCATATGGTTGCAGCGATTTCGACCTATGGAGGGTTCCAAAAAATAGGATCGTTTGTAAATATTTGCAGTTTGCTCAAGCGATAATAACTGAGTCCGGATTGAGGTGACCAACAGGGAAGGGGACTGTATCACTCATATGGACTGTTCACTGTAATACTCGAACGAGGAGCGCTGTCGGCAGGTCGGCTCTGCTGTCTTTTTGCTTCCAACCTTCCTACATACGAGTGTTCTACTCGTTTCCGTACGATAATCGTGTGGTCCGAACAAGCTTTACTTTTATTTCCACTTCTAATGTGGTTACCGAGTGATTCTCAAAGATACCTGTTTGCTTTTCACGGTATGGAGCCCCGAATGGTCGGCAATCGCGTTTCTATGATTTCAACAGTCTAGAATGGACAACTGAAATGTTACGTGAACAATGCTCCCCATATCGCGCCTCTTCTTATAAACGAAATGTCCCACGTGACTGGGCTTTTCGGTATTTGTTAGTAGTATGAGGCGATTTTGGAATTTTCATTTGTGATTTCGTCCTGAAGGGAAACCGTGACTGGGCTTTTCGGTATTTGTTAGTAGTATGAGGCGATTTTGGAATTTTCATTTGTGATTTCGTCCTGTAAGTGAAACCAGTCTATGCAGAAAAGCCGAAAATAACTGTACAAGTGTTTGATCCCTACTAAAAGATCATCAACAGTATGCATCTTGCGAAACTCGGAGCCCGCGACTATCCGGCTAGTCGTTTGAACACGTGACTGACTGTTCGGTCACGAGCAGCTGGTCAGCATTATGATTAACTCGCACTTTCCGGTATTCGATGGCGTATTTCTCATAATCGATATTTTCTTCTCTTTCTGCTTGGCCGTGCAAGCACACCATGGCTGTTCAACCTAAATTATCACCCTCCTAAACAATCCATTGTTGGGATAAACTTAAATAAAAATTGAGCTGTAAATCATTTGCTTACGTTATAATTAGTCCATCTGCAACGCTTTGTTGTCACCGAATCGGTATGTAAAATTGGAACAGGCACACGCATGGATAAAAAGAGTCGCCACCACTTTACGTTCACATTTCTCAGATATTGTGGAATAACGGTGTTATTGCGTGTTACAAGCTGCAATAGTCTTGTATAGTCCGTTGCAAGGTCCAAGCAGATTGAAAAAAACTTTTCTGAGTGGTCTGCACTATAATCCGACATTCATTCATGGTGGCACCGCTGGCATTTGGAATGTTCCTTTCTCCAAGAAATTCAAGCAGGTTGATGCTTATCAGAGAGTAGCTGTATTGAGGAAAAGCAATCTGGTGAGATGGCTTATCTATTGCTTGCTGTGCATATCGTTACAGCCAAGGCTCTCGAGCTACTAATTTGGTGTGTCAGAAATAACGAAAAAGACTCTTAGAACGCCTTTCGAGTTCATTTTCCCTATACCATAGGTGGCTGCAAATTTCCTGTCATGTTACCCAACCATTTTTGCACCCGACATCCTGGACCTTTTATTCTAGTTGGCCGTCTCAGTTGCTTCCTGAAGTAAGTACCTTAATTCAGGCCATGCAGAGCTGACGACCAAGCACATCCAGATTGCAGATTGAATGACGTTCTCGTATTTCGTCCCTTTTATCAGATTGACAGTCATCTGCAATTTCTCGTATCCATGGCTACGTTGCGTTCAGATGCAGCGGAGTTGGAGACTATCCTCAGTTGCAAACTGGATCTATTAAAAATTATATCTAGCCACGAGGACTATCTTTTGTGGAACGGACTAGCTTTCCCTGAGCTCAAAATTCGCCTGGGGTCAATTCGTGTGGCAGAGGGAGTTCTTGTTTGTTGTTCAGAGGCGGCCAAACCACGAAGCCTGTATTTGGCGAGCGCGGAAAACATCACAAACAAAGTAGCCTGTCCAATTTTCAATCTTGTTTCCCTGCTAATCACTGGCACCATTGACGTGTGTATGAACACCGAGTGAGTTTCCGTTAGTCATATAGCCTATTCGTTGCTCCTTCTATCTAAAAAATCTACATAGTTTGGACTTGTTTCCTCTCAAAGTTAGTTAGCGGTTTTGAATTACTCCTAGCTCCATCGCCATCGTTTGAGTGGCCATTTTTTTCTAGTGGACTAACTCTGATGAGTCCTTGGATTGGGTGGGATTTCCTCTGACCACAATACCGGTATGCACTGTCAATGTTAGCGTAGATTTAAAGTTCGGCTATGATGAGTGGGACCCAGGTAAACTCAACTGCTGCGAGCGCCTGGACTGTTCCGATTGAGCAAATGGTTACGTCCATTTAGTTGATATTCAGGAATTCAGAGCCAATCACATATCACCGATTTGATTATCGCAATATGCACTGCACTGACGTTTATTACCGGGTTAAAACATCGGGAATATCGTTTCAGCACCTCTTATCCGATAGAACATGAGTCATCGAACTTTTTAATTACCAGTGGGAGCTGCTTAGACTTGGTGTACTGTAGAAATTATCCAATCTTGCCTTTCCATGTAGCCTGTTTAATCCTGTTGATGAACTCTGAGGAGGGTTTGTCAATTTTCACGTAGAATCTGGTGATTTATAAAACGTAGGCCTGGAGTTTCATTACAGCTGTGTTGCACTTGTACAAGCCGGTAGGTGGACCGTGCTACTGCCAGTAATGAGAACACACTCACGGACCAGCACACCATTGCCTGCGTATTCCCCTACGTATTTGCTTAGAAGTTCTCTCGGTAGTAGAGCCCGTCAAAATATCAGATTTTGTCCATTTAGAACTAAACGAAAGCCTAGAAAGTGTACAGTCATGCTGAATCTTGCTTGGAGTGGCAAAAAGAGATAGACGATAGCCATGAGAACTGGGAGTCCTGCACTATTTCTTTTGTCAATTAAGCCCTGACAACCCGCCCAAGGAAGTGTTCGCGGCTTCCGGCAGTGCGAATAACCATTCGGCACGGTCAGAGCCTACAGACGACCTGCAGTTCTCTACAAACTGTCAGCGGGAGCTGTTCGTAATACTCTATACCTGCTTCCATGGTTGTTTAGAGAATGAATAATGCCATGTATCACTAGTGGAGGCTTTGTCGAAGTTCACCAGAAGAGATTCTTTATCTACACAGAGCTATATCAAGTGTTCTTTGTTGTCATTAATGAGCACGGATAAAGTGCTAGTCTCTAAGGTCGCTATCATCGTGTTCATGTTTGAGCGTTTACATGTGCGTCTGATAACACATGTTTTACACAGGTCGTGTAGAGTAGCTAAAAGTAACCTTCCACAGATGCTGGAGAGACGCCGGTAGGGGTATAGAGAGCAGTGGAAAACATATCTGGTCGTTTGTCTGGTTGAGTTTTTTTGGATCATCCTTGATTCCTACGGCTACGGATCACCGGGTCGTAACTAACCAAACAGGTTCAGTAGGTGGGTGACTATGGATGATATTGTTCCTGGAGTTTCATAAAGGTGCCATGCACATTTGTGGCTGGTAACATCACAGTTTTCTGATCTGCTAACACTTTTGGATATCCTCCAAAATGGAGGGGGGATAAATCCATGAAGGGAAGACCAGCAGTATGGTTAGATAAAACGACAATGTATGTTCAGTAGCACAACTTCGGATCAAATTTGGCACCAGGTTGCACAGTATTTAGAATTGCAGGGAATAAGACGGAAGAGGCTAATTTCCTAATACAGATCCCAACGACAATGCACCATTGTTCCGAGCACGTCAATAGCATAAAAGTACCCACCTGTGTAATGTAATAAATTCTTCCCTTACCCATCATTGGCTTGTTGAATTTGTACTGCTTTGTACCTTGCTATATCATCCTAGTGAGAAGTTGTTAGCCACAGCCAACGTATGAGCTGAAAGTCGACGTCTAGCATCCTTGGAACCTTTTCCAGTCGTTTTATTCTTAGCGAACTCCTGTACGTAGTCCGCTGAAAGTGTAACCCTTGCAGGTAGTTTCATCATGTGTAATATTGCAGTAGCAACTGGATACCTTTCAAATCAAATTAGCCAGCTCAGCGAACAAACGAACGACCACCCATCTGTAGGGTCACGTCACACAGATGATGAGATTACCGGAACACTTGAGCTTTGCATCGATCTTCCGGCCTTGAAACTCCATCGCGGAAACATTAATTCACTGTCTGAAACATATGAAGTATCCCAAAACTGCTTCTCACAGTTGGCTCTGACAGTGTATTCATTGAGGTCGGTTCACTTCCAGCTTGTAAGGCGATTCAACGAAGCATGTGGAGCAGCAATGTGGAAATGCGAACAAGCAACAAGTAGAGATGCTGTTAAGGTTGTCCAAGAAGAGACGGCAGACCAAGAGTACATATAAGGAGTACAGAAATTACTTCCAAAGCTCATTGTCGCACAGTCCCATACGGGGAATGGTCCACTTTCCTGCTACTTAAGTATTGGGATTTCATTTAACACGGTCGAACTGCCACTTTCATGGTGTCCATTCTATTACCAATAAGCCCAACGTTGACTGTTTGGTTTTGAAATACGGTTTACTTTTTCGCTTGTCCCATGTGATGAGTGGCAAGAAGATAGGTGGACTTCATGTTAGAGCTTTTGGCAGTTATTTCCCATTCATATCTTGCACCTGAGTTGGCTTTCTTAGACTTTGCAAAAATTTACGGAAAATTCTGTGGAAAATTCTGTCGGTCAGCACCGGTTGCTAGTCTCGTATTTTGGTGTCTTATCAGGAGTAAGTATGGTGATTTGTGATGGGAAGCAAATGTGGCTGGAGCACTTACTACCAGCTTCATTGAGACGCCAACTGTGAATGAAACAACTAAGCAAACCTTTCAATGAGGCCGAAATTTTGTTCCGTATGATGGTTTTTTAAGATCAAAGCACGAGCAAATTGGAAACTAGATTCTTTTCGTTTTGGATCAGAATTGTCCTAAAATAGCATCAAGGATAGCAGGTTTGGAACATCGCCTGCAAGTGTGATCCTTTTCGGAATTGACCATTCAAGGGGACATTCAGTCTACATGTGGACTATGAGGGTGAGTTTAATGACATATGCATAGTGTCTAGGTACTGGCTAATCACGCTGCCGATCAGCCACTCGTGGTTGAGTGTTGTGGTAGGTGGTTCGAATCTTTATGGATTCGTGAGGTATGCACAACTGATGATTCCTACCAAAATGAAATGGCTGTACAGTGTCGTTTGACTGTTCAACGTTGATAGACTTCTCTTATAAAAGTAAGTCTCAATGTTTTCGAAAACGTTTGGTGACAGTCGGTAGATTTATTGTTTGGCAACGTTTGGCTTTTGACACAAGAGCTTCTTTAGAACAAGTGACCATGTTCCGAGGTTGGTCGAGATTTAAGGCGGAAGGAGAACCAATCAGCTTAGTCAGGCTAAATTTCTGTTGGGTTTCAACCAAGGGAATTGCACACCAGAATTGGCGAGCATAAAAGAAGGATAAACAAACCACCAAGGAATGCAGAAGAATACCAAACGCTGGCCAAAGACTCAGTGATGATGATGCATCCCTTAGACACGGGACATAGAATAGATCTGGAGAATGTGCAAGTTTTAAGACGGGGACTGCGATTCACACCACAGCGGCTGATAGCTGAGGTGGTGGATATTACTAGACATCAAGGTGTGAATAGAATCGAGAGTGTGGAACTGGCGATTGTATTGAAAGCTGTCTTAGATAAGTCGAGTTGACACGTGGCTGTGTGGTTGTCAATCCATGCAAAATCATTAGAAGAAACCGGGGGGTTAGGGTGGAAACCCCAACCCGACCAAAGGTCACAGCATCTCTCTTACACAACTATCTTGGCACCAGCTCATCCACACAGACGGACAGAAGGTTCAAACGACGTTCAAGAGGGACGATCAAATGAACGGAACCAGAAGAGCTAGACCCTAGACTGAACCCAAACACATATAGGTTTCCTCACCGACCCAACACTTGTTCAACCACTCTAACACCAAACTTTTTCGAAAACGATGACTACCCAATCGGTTCCAAATATTTTTCGCGTGAATAAATAGCTCAGCAGACGTAAGCTATAATCTAGATGTACTCTGCCGTAAATATACCTGTTTCGCCCGTTTGCCACCGTGTCGTGCAGCCTCTTCACTAACCGTACGTTTGACTACAAAGACCATTTACAACATTCAGACTATTTTTTTTCGGACGGACAACCAAGTTTCGTCGATATGTGATCTGTAATGGGCGTCAGCAATCAACAAGCAATCAGAAGATTGCGAATCAGAGTCGTTGAGTACTGTCAGTCAGCTCTGTGCAGAAACCCACCAATGTGTATGCGGTGATTGCTTGAATAAATACTGTTTGTTTTCGCCTATGGACCGTTCGCTATTCACCAGCATTCTATGATGGCGGGGGTCATAGCCATTCATGAACATGAACTGTGGTTACCGTAACCCCATGGTTTCCGTGAGACGTCAGCCTGGCGTCTCTCCATCTGTTTGGGTATATCCGGGCAGTGGTAAATCTGAACGCTCGCGAATTCATCCAAACTGATTGTACGGTGGCTGGTAACAGATGCGCAGAAGATGCACTGTGATTTCATCGGACGACAACACACAATACACCATAATCGTCACAGTTCATGATAATGGTTAAATTTTCCGGGCCATCTACTTACTGCTCCAACGGATACGCGCTTTCCAGTGACTAAGTTGCTGACTTATACCAGCCGTGAACGGCTGTTCGTTTAACACGCACAGAGCTGGACTTAGGAACTATAACTTCTCTGAACGCGCACAAAAGGAGTTTGACAACTTTCTTGTGGATGTATCCACGATAACTTCCGCCGCTTGTATACCTGTCGGCGACATTGGCTCTTATTTGTCAATGCTTTCATGGGCTGGACCGCAGTGGTCTGTGGATGTATGTTACGTGGTACCTGACCAGGGAGATCACTTAGTCCGATCTATTTATCTCAGCGGTAGGCCGATCGTTATCTGGTCGGTTTTTAATATGCACACGAGTGCTTTTTGATGTACTACCCACTTTCAGCGTGTGAATCATGACCTCTTCTGTTATGATCCATCTAACAGCCTACCTAAAGTGCAACAGATGGCAGTCACGTTGTTGTGTGATCTGTTTGGGCTACACGAAGTAGACCCCCGAATTTCTGATCAACCGGATGCTCGGCTAACAAGTCCAAGAAAACCGATGCTGTGTTCGCTGTCAGAGGTTGCCACCCTCTATTTGGATGTGTTGGACCTCGTTGATCAGTGGATGGAAAGACTTATCATGACGTGGTCCTTTTTCGAGATGGAACGTCCTTCAACTGTGAGTGCCGCACGACGTGCAAGCAGCACACCGATGTTGGACATCGGATCCGAAAAAGATGATTCGATGTCTGCTGAAAGTAGCTTCCTTAAATCTGTGGTGCATCGGAAGAAAAAGGTAAGTGTCCAACCATACACTACTAATCGATTACTTTACCATTCAGACCTCTCGGGGTTCGAAGGACACCATATTTGGGGAGCGCTTCCAATGGCCAGCGAGCAGACGTTCGATGATGCCCAAAAAGCCATCGGATTTGTCACGCTTATCTGAAGCAAAGAATGACTTGCCCAGTATGATGCTTGAAATGAACACTTTCAAAAAATGGCTACTAGCATCCTTATGGGTGTTGCGTTACTCGGAAAACTCGCTGTTTGTCCGGTGGATATCCGATTTGGCACCGGACTCTCGGAACCGGCTCATCACCATCCTCTTCCTGGCACTAAGCACTTTCAGAAACAGAGTGAGTGGTTTGCCTTACCTTTCCGACAAACTGCTTTCCCATACAGTGATTATTCTATGGGTAAACGCTCACGCGGTGAATTCCTCCTCAACTAGATTCAACCATGCATTGGTTCAAAACGGTCTCACTTGTGTATCTTTGTCGATTTTCTTCATTCGTTGGTATTTTCTGAAATTTTTGAGCCTGGTGTGGGGTTTTTTCACGCTCACCGTATTTGACAAAACGATTATCTGCTGTTACGTCGCATCTTTCCTGGGGTCGATATGTTTCCTTTTGCTTCTTGCAGTTCATTCTGGATCACAAGCTCATCTAGATGCGACAGTTCGGCAAATTTCATAACCCTATTTTCATCGTACTACGCACAGTACACTAAAAGCATACGAAAGTGAAGTTGCTGCTTGATAATGTACGCTTGGCCAGGTGATTAGAACTCTATATCGATTAACCTGCTGTGTTGATGAACACTAGTCACCAAGGCGACAGTGGCTTGAAGTCACAGTCATTTGACTCATAAACAGCAACCAAATGACCTACAGTCAAGGCTTCACCCATGAGCATGGTTTCAGCTCTTCGAAACTATCCGCATCAACAGCTCTTTCAGATGCTCTTCCCCTATCAAGTGATTAATTTTTTATCAGAAATTTCAAGACTGGACTTGAAAAACTACTGGTGCGAATATGTTGGTAAAATCCTCGCACCTGTAATGTTAACATCATTATGTGGATGTTTCTTGGACTAGCTCAGATAGAACAGCAAATATTATTTGGAAGACACTCCAGTTATGGGTTCAACTCACGATCTCTAGGAAATTGATTGGCGCAATCCTATGTAAGACTAGGGATTTCCTGTACACTCTCTGGTTGTCGCCACGAGAAGCCTTACACCCTTTGCGAAATTATCTTCGTGTGCATCTAACCGTTTGCTTGTTACTGTGTACGCAAAATACACTGTACGCCGTTCGACCACTGTTACACCCTCAAAAGTTTGTGTAGGGCGTATACAATAGAATGTTGCGTGGCCACATGTGCTTTCCTCTCAGGATGCATACACTGGAACAATATCATACCGGATATGCAGCTCCTTCCAAGGGCTGTTTAGCGAAACAACAGGCGTTGGGCGCTGAGATATCCATCTTTCTGTACGAATGAACTGGTCCGGTACACCTGCCCGCTCTGAAAATATTAATTCAGAAGGATTAACTCACCAACCGGCCTAGCGCGGACCAAAAAGAAGGATTGATCTGTAGCAAGTGAAATGAATCTACGTACCATCCACCTTCGCGTTCTTCATATGTGAGAATTTCGGAATGTAGGGCGTAGCTATTGGTTCTTAGATTTGAATGAATTGAATGACAATGTGAAACGGTGTTCAAGACAGTGTTCAAGAGGGAAGGGGGCACGTGCTCAACATCTGAGCCTGCAATAGTTCATGTGTAACCTTGGCTGCACGGATGATCATGGATTGCGATTCTTGTCCCTGTTAGTGGTCAGACTGCGTTTTACTTTACGGTCTGTGGGTTTGGTTTCTTGCTATTATTGGAAAACAGGTAATCAGGTTGCTGGGAAATGAAGTGCCCAGTGAGCTGAACTGGAATGATTGGTTGCTCGTGCTGGAAAAAAATGGATGTATTCCAGGACCTCAAGACACAAGAAGAGGTTCTCTAGTGTAAACAGCTTGTAGTACACCATTGGCAAAAAACTCATAATGATTTTTGATGGTCTGCCTGCCCATGTTCTGTGGATGAACCTTACTGATTATGACTGGAGAATCCAGGCAATGAAAACAATCCCAAGCACGTAGAGTTTGCATAGATTGATTTTCAGTCGTCCCAGGTGTTCTCTTCGGAAAGGACTATATTCCGGATAGATTGGGGCGAGGGTGATCTTTCTCGTTCTTTTCAAACTGGGGTCGCTTTGACCCATTGTGTGAGCAAGATTGTCATTGGTCTGAAATTTCAGCACTGAATGACTTGATTTAGCCGGTTGCGCTGTTTAAACCAGGTCTGAGAAATTTCGCCCTTAATTTTTGCTGTCATAACGACGAGACGCGATACCAGATTACATCGTTCAAACCACAGTTAGATTCATTCGGAACCCATCGGCAATGGGAGTTCAGTGTGAATTTCCATATCGTTTTGACATCCTATGTAGAGTGTAGTTTACCGCGTCTGAATTGGATGAATTCGTTCGTTATCTCGCACTGCGGGGACCCTTAAGTGCTCAGTGTCTTGTAAATGTTGTTGTACTTTTAGAGCCTCAACTTGTACAGTGTACTGGTGTAAAACATGTTGGACCAATTACCGACTGCGCTTGCGTGGTAAAAGGGCGTTTTGTATATCGGGATTCGAATGCTTTGATTCTTTCAAAGCGGATAACGCTGCGCTTTCGCATGTTGTTGTTAATTCCTCGTCCGATTCCGTGCAGTTCAACTGTCATACTAGCCGTAGCGACAACAGAGCTTCACATTTTAGTGGAATGGTTGCTTCAAGTAACGTATCAGCCGTTGGAATTCGTTGGATGCACACAATTCCTATCAGAGTGCATCTTGCTGTCATTGGTGTTATGAAGAAGAAAGATTCACTCTTTGTTGTATCGTCACCAAACCCAAACAACTGTGCTGGATGAAACTGCCCATAAGGTTGCTGGAAGCTCTTCAGCAGCCTATGTTCTGTTTCGCTCATGAGGTAGAGCTGGATGATATTCACTTTAGGTTACATGGTAGACTACGTTTCGTCCCATGAACAAATATTCTTCTTAATGAGGATGCTTCCATAGTAATCTTGAAAAAGCACTCTAAGTGGCGGCTCCCCGGGGTTGTGATTACCAACCACTCTTTTATTTTGTGATTAATGCAGCTGTTAGTTTATTTAAAGCAACAAGATTTGTCCGTATGGAACAGGCAGAGGAGGAATTCTTTTTACTCTTACCGTATGAGTAAATGAAATAATATATTTGACTTTCAATTAGTCGAGCAACAGTAGTCTATTGTGCACGACGATCCACTGTGATGTGATCATTGGGGCTTCGGAATACGGTTTTTTCCTAGCTTCACAGAAACTCTCAACTTGGCTGATCTTACATTTGTCCAGTAATGTCTAGTTTGCCAGGCACTGGAACGTTTTAAACTGTTCTTATGCATGTATTGTGACTGGTCAAGTTGACGTTGGTGATGTGTATTTCCTATAGTATCATGTTTACCCATGCGAATAGCTGGAGACGTTAACTCATTTCTACTGTGACTGGGTGTATTACATTTGACCGTGTCTAATGTGGTCGGTGTTTTGTATTTGACCAGTTTTTGAAAGTCTCCCCGATTCGAACGCTATCCTGAATATGTTTGGATTTATCGTCGTAAGGCGTCCGCGTTCAGTACAAGACAGATTTACAGCTGACCGTTTCATATAAAGTACGTTTGGTAATGTGTCGGAAGGTGCAAGCTCAACAAACAGATAGACAGCTGATCAAGTACCAATTAGAGCGTTTCTTGTGAACCAGCAGGTGCGTATACTTTACAAAGAGTACCCTCCCTTACAGGTATTTATTGTTTTATGCATCTCACCTGTATTTTACGCTACTATTTTCTCATGAGGATTTCTCTGCAAGGTGCTTCGATATGATCAGAATTGGTTTCGGCGGATATCTGCATGAGAAGCACGGTTGTTTCCTCCCAATGTCAAACGACTCCTTTGTAATTCAACCAAATTTTGCAGATTTTTAAAACCCATGACCATGTGCCTTACTGTGTCATGGAATCAGCTGTCCCGACTCTTCCGTTATTGTTGGTTGATTCTTACCTTTGGTTTGCGGGTGAGCACTTGCTTTTCAATTTTTTTTCACCCGATAGACGAACGCCATTCCTTGTGATACGCAGCTGGAACTCCCTGCACATCAACGTTTGAAACCACCTGGCCAACAACACCACGGAAAACGTGAGTCTGTCACATAGTGGAGTCAGTTCTCTCTATCTTGAGTATTATGCTATCTGGAGGGACTCTATTTAGCTGTGATAGAATTTGAAGAACAATGCGACTAGCATATGTAAGTTACAACCCCCTGTAGCAGTCACCAGTCTGATTGATGGGTATCGCTTTTGATGCCCGAGTTGAGTAGAGGGCAAGGTTGTCCGGTGCTACGCCACGAATATGTGTAGATTCGTATACGTCTTTTGTAATACCGCTGCAAGAAGGATGAAAACCCCATATGATAGGGAGTCTTACGACGAGCTAGTCGGGACCGAATGAGGGCGTTCATCCTAGTATATTGGTTGCTGCAAGGAGGTTTCACCGTTCTCTTTATCTGTCATGGATCACACAATTGTTCCGGGAAGCTTCGATTCCAAGAACCTCATTTTTTTTGGCCAACTAATCCACTATGTACCGTCCGCGTGTGGTTCGACAAAAATCCTCGCTGACGAATTGGTGGAGTTGTGTATGTCGAATTTTTGCCTATTCAACACTTCCTGTTATACCCAAATGTAGCCGAGATGGCTCAGGTGGCTAGAACGCGACTTTACTGTCCGGAAGGTCCGTGGTTCGAACCCGACATCTGCTTCTCGACTTCCCGTATCTAGGCTCGGACAACCTGGCAATATCCAAGCCCTCTTGCTTCCTTCCAGTGGCATGTTAGCTAGGCACCGGAAGGGTGTTACAGCTGAACGTTATACTCAGATTGGATCAATTTCACTTTGTGTTCCACCAAATCATTTGTATTTCACTTATTTTTGAGGTATTCGTTGATTGCACTCAAATGACAATGAGGTACGGTCGGTGTTGTTGTCTGTGTCCATGATGTCACTTTTGATGATCCAGGCCGATCGCACCGTATGTTTAAATCAATGCGGTTTCGGTATTGTTTTTCCATCAGGTTTCAGTGATCCTTGTGGACAATAAATAGTGTTGCATAATTCACCATAATACACTCATTCAACGCTCTAAATGCAGATTCGCTCCATTTTACTACAGTACTCAGACAGTCAGGCAACAAACGATCTATGCGGGTGCGCAGTCGAGACCCGTCTACGTGGTCGGTATTCGGTAATGCTCGCCTCTCGCATTCGCCTTCTGACAGTGCACTGCTGAGCGGTTCCCACTCACATGACCTACCGTCAATGCAGATCGATCTTACCGAAGGACCACCTCCTGAACAGAAGAACGAACCATCTGTTCCATCGTGGTTGGTGGGCGAGGTGACACTTGCCGTAACGGCAATACTAGATCACATTATATCGGTAAGTTTAAAACAACTCAATTTGCCTGGATTTACCCTATATTCCGTCCACATTCTTCATTTACTTCTCTTTTGTTTCCAACAAGCTATTGAGTTTATCCTTTTATCACACAATGTCTATCTCAGTAAATCTTCCACTCATAATGTGTTCGACTGTCAAAATCGGGACGTAATAGATACACTTCACATCGGTCCACCACCAGTTTGTCTTGCTCGTAGTCAATATGGATTAATAGCAACCTTTGGTTCTATTTGTCCTCTGATTCGATTAACTTCTACTGCAACAATCAGGACCACATTCACATGAATTCTTCACGAGTTTTCGTGAACCACGATCTGTTGTTCCAGTGTGATCAGTTCCCTCCTCCTTTGTATTTCTACACAGTTGCATTCAGTTCATCTGTTTCACCTTCGTAAAACGCTGCATTTAGCTCACTTCCGTGTTTAGTGTTTGTCTTTTGACCAAGTTCATCAGTTGCTAATAGTCGATCTTATTGTTTTCATACCTGCTTAGGGTCTTTGGGATATGGACGCTGACTGTGGTCAGCCGGGCATTTCTCTGCTTCACACAACAAGTTCTACTTTTGACGGCGTCATTCCCTACCGTCGGAAGAAGGGCAACGTGGGCACAGCCTCACTACTGGACACCCTGTTACGCGTCCTGTTATATGGCTTGAGTTTGGAACAAAGCGATTTGGCTTCAAGCCGTCTGTTGTCCAGCTTGAGCTTTGTGATTGGAAAAGTAAGTGAAATGTTTAGACTTAAATCACTACTCACAAGGTCGCTGAAGGATCTTCGACAGCCGAGGACTGATATCGCTCTTCTTGCGGCTCATCAAGTAGTCGCTGTCCCTGAGTTTGTAATAAACTTTATGTTCCAATTGACCCTAAATGTACACTCACCTGCTTCCCAGTTCGGTCTTGACGGGAGAATCACCTGGAATCCAGCTAAATCTCTCGTTTATGATTTTCTCTCTTAAGTGAAGTGTTACTGGCACCATACTTCGGTATATTTATTCTAAGCGAGCAAGGAGGATAAACTGAATATTTACCTAATCGATGTACATTGCACACTTTGTTGCGACTGGTATATTTCGCTGCGATATTTGATGCATCTGGCTTACATAACAGTGACTAATCTTTTGAACTCCATGGATACTGCTTCCAAGGTCACATGATCATCGCAAGCTGATGAATCTCGTGTGTCTATTGTGGAATTTACTGAGAGTTTAAGAGATACCGGAAACAACGTATCCAATTTGATATTAGAGGTGAGTGATGGATTTGTCGATTAGGAGACGGGACATTTGCGGTAGTATTCGTTTTGTGAGTTGGACATTACTTACTAAGTTGTATCCACTGTAAGTCTGATTTTAACTAAACGTTTACTCAAACACCTGACGTTATCGCTTTTATTTCATACTATATTTTGTGATGGCCAAGTTCCGTTTACGAACAAAATGGCTATAATTGTTTTGACTCGCGATAGTCAAAGCTCAGCGGTTGGGACGAAATTGGACGTATAATGGGTCCAGTCGTTAGCCATCAGTATATACGATAAATGAAGTGGACAGGCGGATTTGTGTACTCTGACCTTGATTACCAAGTTATTTTCACCCCGTCTCTCATAATGCAATCTTATTGCGAGAAAACAGTTCTCTCAGCCGTTATAAGGGTCATACAACCAAATGATGTGCGTGAATACTTCCTGTTTATAACCCTTTTTCTTGAGCCGCGTCTACTCACCGTTGCCTAGCTTGCTAGTTATAACCATCCTGGTACGCTACAATGGGCTGTTAGGCACCAAAGCCAAGTTTTGCGCGATTAATTACCACTTGTACGCGGTGAAATGGGATGTCGTTGAGGTAATTACGTTCGGTCTAAATTTTTACGAGTACCTTGCTAACGGTTAATGAATACCTTGAGTCTCACTGGTACACGATCGATTTGTGCCGGAGAATGGTGGGTTGAAATACATTCCCCACTGGTGATGTTTGTTCTGTGCATATTCGTCTGCCTTGTAACCCATCTTCACGCAAACCGGTAACATTTTTATTGTCTTTTTGAATTGAACCACAGTTCCCATGCTTCGTGTTTGAAGACAGTCCCGAACTACTGGCTACCGCTATGTACCACTTGCTTACGTTGTGTGCGATGGATCGGACAGAGTTGCGTATCGAGGCCGTCAACATGTTGTACAACCTGTTGAGGAGCTATTTCCTTCTAACGAAGGTGAGCGAGACCCTAGTTGATGTGGGAGACTCCGTAATTTTACGAAGTGTTTTTGTCTTCAAATGTTTGGGAAATGTTTCTTTGGTCTCTCGGGTGATTCACCACGACATGGTAACTGAATTGGAGGCACCCACTGTCATATAGTTGAGTTGGTTGCGAGTTATGTAGACAATAAACCTCCTTGTCGAATGAAGGGTTGGAAACTAGGAACAGATTGGAGCAGGCTATTTCTATCATCAGTCCTCAGAGCTCTATAATTTTACTTTTATGATTACTCCTGAGCTCTAGGACATGCACCAAGCCTTCCAGGACGCTTTACTTGCCTGCATACGCTAAATTCTTAGTTTACTTGTGACGATTTTACAAGTCGTCGCATTGAAATACACCAATCCTCTTATTATCAGGTAAGGACAGATCTGAAACGTAACGTAACCTTTGCTTGGTACATGTGATTAGGGAATATCATAAACGAGAGGCAGTTCATTTTTGTCTTCCCTCAACACCGTGTATGACCAGTTTTATGTCCCAGTGCGAGACAGGGCTGACGAAACTTAAGTGATTACATCCTGCCTGATAACCTCCAAAAGGGAGAAGTTGACGAAGGGCTGTCATGGTAGTAGTACTATCCAACAAGCTCGATCTTTCTTGATACCTCATCACCAGATCTCCTCCTGTGTTTTGATTTTCATAAGCGATGTTGCATTTTTCGGTCGGGTTCGAGGCAGTGGTTACTGACCTTCGTACGTTCATCCTAGGTAATATATACCCATAAAAAACTTCCTAACCAACTGTTCCTAAGTCCTTCAAGGCACTCTAAGTCGCCCACACGGGAGCAGTTACTAGACGCTCCAAAATTATTATCGTCTGTTTTTTGTGGTGGTGATGCAAGTTCACTTCTCTTTCTTGACCCCATTTGCTCCCTCAGAATTTAGCTGGGCCTCGAGTGCATCTGTGCACGGCATTCCCTTTTTGTTTGCCCCA